TGGACGCGATGCCCCGACAAAGAAGCCTTTCTTCATCGACACAGGTAAGCCTCGTGAAACCAGGTTTACCTGTGTCGATGAAGAAAGGCTTCTTTGTCGGGGCATCGCGTCCAGACTCTCCCGATCTGCCGACAAACAGCTGATCGGCAGATCGGGGCAGCCATTTAAATTTAAATGAAGCCGCGATTATTTTAATCGCGGCTTCATTTCCCTCTTCTGATCTGGCTAATCTACATGCCTCCGTCGACGGAGGCATGGAGTCTGGACACAGCCTTACAGTCTTAGCTGAGAGACATCTGACTTTTAGCTCATGCACTAAACTCCAGAGGTCCCAGGTTTGGTTCTGCCTGTCAGAGTTACATCTAGATTACATCAACGTCATCTATTGTCTCTGACTTTGGCTCTCTGTTTCTTATGGAGGAAGACCAGCAGGGACAAGCAATCTGCTTGCCTTTGGGGAGGAGAGGACTGATGACATTAAAGTTTTTGAGTTATAGAAGGAAATGAATCTTCAATTATCTGGAGCTCCACTCACTGGCTATTAGAGAGTTAAACAAATGCCAAGAGGGTGTGAAAAGCTGAGAAAACCCGTAAGAGAGATTAATAACCCAAACTTGACCAAAAATAACATTGTCCGTGATCCTTAATAAATGTTCTGAGTTTAAAGCTACTTATTATCGAACAAGCTGGAAAAAAACAGAGATAAACACTCTGAAATTGATACTGCTAGTGGAGTGAAGCCCATAGCGGGCAAATGGAATATAGTGAGTACATTAAATGAGTAAAGGGTAAAATAAATCAACTGAGAAATGCCTGCAGAATGGACATGCAGCAAATTAAAGCCTCAGGCTTAAAATATGATAGAAAGGACTGTATGAAAGGGAACATTCATAAATGGATGCAGGGTTCAGAATTAATCTCAGAGGGTGCGTCCACACAGCACCCTAAAGTCGAAATAAGATATGCAATTTGCGCTACGCAAATTATGTATCTTATTTCAATTGTATTTCAAAATAGCTTATGCATCTACACAGTGCCAAATTTTGAAATAATGCATTATCTCAAGACATCCCTTAGCCCTCATGGAACAAGGGTTACAGGGATGCTGGAATAGCATGCCTGTTATTCTGAAAAATATTTCAAAATAACGGGCGCATTTAAAAGATGCGGGGTAGCTATCTCAGGATACCTCTAGTATCCTAAAATAGTCCTGCTGTCTAGATGTACCCGGAGAGCGGAGGTAGGGTGGGTCTAAGCTATAATGGGTAGTGGTTTAAGGTGGTACATTGGCAATGGGACTGTAAGGACCACTAGAGAGGGGTGAATTTATGTGACTAATTTCAAATTCCTTTATACATTTTGGGCAGGGTGAGCTGCAAGCCAAAATGTTTGAGATCCACTGCCCTAGACCCACTGTATGATTTTGGATTTGTCATTTAATTTCTCTGTGTCTCAGTTTCTCATCTGTAAAACAACAATAATAACACTTCCTTTCTCAAAGGGCCAATGCTCAAAAATATGTTTCTAGTACTTGGAGATTCCTCAAAGGGAAGACACCATAAAAATACAAAGCACTATTGTCACTGTTAGTTAAATGGTAGGAAAGAAATGTTCTTCTCCAACTTTCAAATACGCACCTCAAACTGTCTAATCATTCTCTGGCCAATTGGTAAGGCCTTTGTCCCTGTGGTACCTACCTGCCATTGTATACTAGTACTAAACCATGCAGCCACAAAGTCAGAACCACATAGAATAAAACTACGCAAATGCAGCTGTCTTGTGAGGGCCCCTTTAAATTCCGATGAACACAAGGATGCTCAGTGTACCGCTTTGCTAGTTGTATTGGCTGTACAAACACAAACACTCCCCGCAGGTCACAGGCAGTTTTCACGGTGAGTTCAAAGTTGGAGTAATTCAAGCCACCTGAGAGCAATTTGGAGTCTCGGCAGCCTGCAAGCGACACATGCAACCATGTTGGGAAACAGACGGAGACTTCCATGGTAGAAACAAATCCCATCTCTGACTTCTGCATTGGAACAGGCTTGCATCGCTCTGTCTTTCAGTGCTGATCCCTCGCAAAGCATGGGTGGGAGGCAGTGTAAGGGCTCCATGTGCCTAATTCTAATTTATACCCAGCTGCCCAATAGAGTCTATAATAATAATCTATAGGCCTTGTGACAACCAAAGGAAATACACAGGGGAGCCAACATATGTGATGGGCCTGTGGTCCCGGTGAGGGGGACAGCTCCACTCTCCTGGAAGGGGGTAGATGGATCTGCAGAGTCCTGTGTCCTGGAGACAAGATGGGGAGAGAAAGACAGCAGTTGCCATGGGGCCCAGCCATTCAAAGGGATACAGAGCTCGCCGCTGCTGCTGCAGTAGTAGCAGTGGTGGCTGGACCCTCAGGCCCTTTTAAATCACCAGGCCTTGGAGCAGTTACCCTCTTTGCCCCTCTCCCTCCCACCATCCCATCAGGTGTGCAGAACTCCTCCTTGGCCTGCCTGTTGCTTTTAGGGGATGAATATATGTGTATTGAGGGAGGGTTACAGAGCTGTCTCTGCATACGGCAGGAAGGGCCTTCTACAGGTGGGTGTACTAACCAGGGGAAGGGGAATGCAGAGCAAGCCCTGAACTTTATCCTGGAATTACTGGGAATTTTGCCATTCATTTCAGTGGGAGCAGGCTGAAGCCTGTGAAGAGGTCAGCAGACACAGTGTGATTGCACAGAGCTCATTGGCGGTGCACTCAGGAGGGAGTCAAATGCCGCCCAGTTGATGAGCAGAGTGCCTACAGTTAATTTTTTTTATAAGGGTGGTGCATATTCACACATGCCTTGGTGCAGATAAAATGTATTCCACACATAGATGGAAAAAATCCACACATGGATGGAAAAACGTAGAGAGAACATTGCTCAAATGCTGAACAGAGCCAAAGTAGCAGGTGGAATGTAATTCAGTTAGTTAATATGGGTCACACAGATGCAATCAAATAAGGCAGTTACGATTCCCTCTGTGTTTAATTAAGTGCCTCAGAAGGACTTTTTGCAAGATTCTCAAGTCCTGGCTCTGCTACATCTATCCCCTGTGGAAGCAGAGATAGAGTCAAATATAGGATTTAGAGCATTGGTAAGGACTTGAGCAATACATGTTCAGGTTGAAGGGAAATATTCCTTGGAGAAATCTCTG